AGAATGTAAAATTAAAATTATTAGAAGTGAAGAGAAGTGCATTTTGTGAGCCATAGAACAGAGCCATAATATACCTATGTGAATCTAGCGTGTGGACCTCTGGAACATCCCATCTGCAGAGCAGAGAGAAGGAATTTTGAAAAATCAAGTATTTCAGAGATTAGGGAGGAAGACACTTATTATTCTAGTCCTTTTCGTAAGTTATGCTAAAAGCAATTCAAGATAACAGTAGATAATTAAAAATAGTCTGTGTAAGGTAAAGAAGGTAAAAAAAAAAAAAGTCATAGGAGCAAGACTGGACAAATACCACGTTCAGGTGTAATGTTTAACTTTGTATGATACTGTACCATTCTTACTACAATATGTTAAAATAAAGATCCTAGCTTCAATAGTCTCACCTTGAATACTTTCAAGGTTTTGTCTTTAATCTTTTCTTTACTGTACTTGCTTTAAGCATTAAGAAATGAACATCTGAGTTGCCTCTTCATGGAACTCTAGGGTGTAGCTGAATAGCACACACCTTCAGTTTTTCAATTCATAAGTGTTCAACAAATTTAGTGCCCTTACAGATATTTCTCACTGCAAGTAGGACACAAATGATGAGTTTATTCTGTAATGCCGGTAGTATTTCAGCTCAGGAAAACTTTTTTCTTTAAGCAGTCTTTAAAGACAAGTGCTACAAAAGGTGGCCTGCTGTCAGTTTTAACGTCTTAGAGATGCATTTTCTGTAATGACAGTGACTATACAATAGCTCTCCTGGATATTTCAGGGAATTTGAAATGGTGTCTGTCTGAACAGAAGGATGAGAAATGCTGGAAAAGCTGCTGTTCCTACTCAAAATGAGACTAGATAGGAGTAGGTATTTTTGTACAAAAGACTTGAAATAGGTGACGTGTAAGTCAAGATGCAGTAATGATCATGGTGACCCTGGTGTGATTCACTTTATAAGTAGTTAGCACATGAAAATACTAACTTTAAAGGTGAATCAAAGCTGAGAATTGTAACAAGCCCTTAAGTTTTAATTTCCAAATGTTCAATTTCCGTAACTGTTTGAGTTGATACCCTCTTCCAATCTCCACAGACACAGGTTTCACCTTTTCTGCAACAGATGTTTATGCCACTACTTCGTGCTATTTTTGAGGTGTTGCTCCTTCCAGCAGAAGAAAATGACCAGTCTGCTGCTTTAGAAAAACAGATGTTACGGAGGAGTTACTTTGCTTTTCTGCAGACAGTAACTGGCAGTGGAATGAGTGAAGTCATAGCTAATCAAGGCAAGTAGTTCAGTTTCTCAAAGGATAGTACTATGGTTATTCGCATCTAAGTCTTGTCTACTAAAATCATTAGCCTAGTTCCTGTCGAGTACTATTAACTATGTTAAGGTAGAATGGACTAATGTAAATACAGTATCCAACTTACCTGTTGCCTACCTTGTGTGCAAGAATTTGGGTTTGTGAAATCCAGCTATAATAGGCATATTCTTCCTACTGATCTCTTCAGCTTATATGTGATCATCGTGTCTGTAAGAAGAATGGTGTATAATACATCCTCATGTATCATTGTATTTGATTGGTGAATCTGAGATCATACAATATATAACAATGTATAGCGATGTTCAAACTGTTGGGCAAGACCGCTCACAGCTGCCAGTATTCATTGTGGTGGTCATTTTCTGAAGGACACATCAGTAACTTCTGTAACTTTTTATTACTGTCACCTGATCTTGTTATCTATGGTAGAAGGCATCATATGAGTTATATGTAGTTACCAGGTTTTCCTCACCCTTAGTGGCCAAATGCAAATTAGTGCTTTTCACAGCAGAAATTTGAAGTCGAATGTCCAGTTGCTTGATTCTTTCATTCTCTCAGTTTGTATTCCATCAAAATGGCTAGGGACTTGAAGCTTTAAAGTGACTCACGTGATAGGTGGAGCTCAGACTTCCTTCCCCCCCCATCCTAAATTGATAGTAATGCCTGTGGGAAAGGTAAGGGTGGCATTAAGAAGTAGTGAGAGCTTTCTTGAAAGAGGCACTTCGGTAGCTGTGATGGGCCAAGAAAGTTTTAAAGGAATCAAACAGAGATAAGTATAGACGCAGCACAGAAATTTGAAGTGTGATAAAAATATCTTTCCGTATATTGGAAGATAAGTCAACTACTTCGGTGCCACTGAGTTTGGGTAGAGAGGAGAAAACTTGTATTTGTAAGCAGGTCAAAGTACCCCCCTCAGCTTTTGTGTGTATCAAAGGCCAGAAGAGCAATTAAAATCTCCAAACTTATTAAAAAAATAAACAATTATAACCTAAATAAGAGTTGTCTTGCATCGTAGGGGAAATTCAAAAAAATATTTGAGATTTGTGCAAAAAAGAGCTATTTTGAAGTTGAAGCGTGTCTTCCAGGTCAGTATTTATATAAAACAGTGTGAGAGTACAGAAACATTTTAGGCCGCAAGTTGAAATGACATGCTCATTTTAATGCGTTTAAGGTGCAGAGAATGTGGAACGTGTGTTGTTCACTGTCATTCAAGGAGCAGTGGATTATCCAGATCCTATTGCACAGAAGACTTGTTTTATTATTCTTTCTAAGTTGGTGGAGCTTTGGGGTAAGACTGTCTTTCCATAATTCCTTTGCAGCTGCTACTAACCATGAAGCAATAATAGAACATGGAATGTTACTTTTCTTTTCAGGAGGTAAAGATGGACCAGTAGGTTTTGCAGACTTTGTCTACAAGCACATTGTTCCTGCGTGTTTCTTAGCACCTTTGAAGCAAACGTTTGACTTAGCAGATGCCCAGACAGTATTGGTGTGTATTATGGACATTTTTTTTTGCTTTCGTTCTTGTGGGGCAGATTCAAGCTAAGAAACCTACAATGGCCATGTGGTATCAAAGATCGTCATCTCGCAAATAAAATCCCTTGTGTTTTTTATTGAGGTACCTGGATGATTAACTATTGAATATCGTGGTACTGTATTCTGTAGTTCACCTGTGCTCAAAATCAAGCTAGAGAATTGCAAATCTGAGTATTTAACATTGACCTGTATTACTTACTAACTAATGTTCAGTGAAAGGGAACACACACAGGTGGCTGTTCTTTAGTTCATTTTGGGTTCAGCTGTGACAGAAATTTTTCTGGTTAGAGTGGAACAAAAATTGGAAGGTTGAGGCTGTTATCATTGTGTGAGGGGAAAATGAGGGAATAATGGCTAGCTCTTGTTTTGGGCCTCGTTAGATTCTTTGGCTTTAAATACTTAACCAATAGACTAATCGAACAGTCTAATGTTATGTATTACATTGCAGGCTTTATCAGAATGTGCAGTGACGTTAAAAACAATTCATCTCAAAAGGGTAAGCTTAATAATACTTTGCAGGGAATAACTCTTGCAGGTTTCTTTCTAGTGCTTTTATCAATTTCTAAAAATTAATACTTACTTACTAGGGTGAATTACTACTCTACTCTTATATAAAATAATAGAATGACTGTAATGCTGTGTCGGGATACAGGATCCAGTAGTCCTACCTCTTGATAAATTACTGCAAAATATTTACTCTTCATTAAGGAGAAAATTGTGCTCACTTGATTGTTACTGTGTTTAATTGATCAATTGGCATTCTTTCACTTTTCAGTGTAGTACTTAGTGACAAAAAAGAGCAGTTGGAGATGTACTATGGACTACTTCTGTGAAAACTAAAGGTATCTTTTGATGTGTAGGAGACTAGACTGAAAAACATTTAGGGAAAAAAATGAATTTTGCATTGTCTTAATGACTAAAACACTATAGCATATTTCCATTTTTAAAGGGAAATGAAACAGTTTCTGTGTTCGTGTTACTGTTTCCTGCCACTCCCTTTAACTTGCTGGCTAACTTTTCTGTCAAATGCAAGTAAAAGTCACAACTACACAAACTTTCATCCCTGGAAACATTGAAGGTCAGGTTGGACAGGGCTCTGAGCAACCTGATTTAGTTGAAGATGTCCCTGCCCACAGCAGGGGGGTTGGACTAGATGACCTTTAGAGGTCCCTTCCAACCCAAACTTGTAAGAAGTTATAAACTGGCAGAGAAGCAATTGTGTTTTAATTCAGGAGAGCTTCTGAGTTTGTTCCTTTTTTCCCCAAAAGCAATGAAGAGATAAATCTGTAGGAAATCAAGCTTTGGTAAATGAAATAACATCCTACTACAAATACCGTTTCTTTTAACACTACCGATACAAATATAGGAAAAAGATCTGAAATATTTTCTCCTCATGTGAACTGTATACCATGTTCAAGTTGTAGGGTAACTTATGTGTGAATTAGTAAAGTTGATTCACTTTCCCCTGGTAGATGTATCGGGTCATGTTTGTATACTGCCAGTGTACAGTAATCCCTCTTGTGATGAGAGGTACCTGATAAATGCAGGTAAAGAAAACAAAAACTAGTGCGTTAACCAAAACAGACCTGTCTGTCTGCTTCTCTCAAAGTTTTGGAAGTTCCACTTCAGTACTGCGTAGTCCGCTGCAGATTCCCAAACCAATGTTACAAGAATGTTACAATGTTACAAGAAGAGAAACACTATGTTCAGGGGTACTTGGCTACCAAATTTCGCAATGGGGAGTCGTATGGTAAAGCAGTTGGCAGATACTAATTGCCAATTTTTTTTTTCTTTCATATGTCAGATAGTGAAATTAGGGCCGTCTTCTTACTTAACTGACTTTTACAGTTGACATGTCACCACAAACTGACTAGCTGTATGGTAATTCTTATTTCAGTGCAATTTTTGGTGCATTCTTCTGCTGTGTAACAAAAAATACCAAATTGCAGTAGAATCCTTAATGCCAAGGTTGAGAAATATTTTTATTTGCTAACAGCCAAGAATAACATGAGCATTTGGTACTTGATATGCATATTTCTTTGTAAAATAGTCATGTAGACCACCTGTTTTCAAACTCTTCTGTACCATACAGTATAGGGCTACGACTTCCCATTTGTACAAAAATACACTTGAACAAATCATGTACTGCTTTTCTTTAGGGTCCTGAGTGCATTCAGTATCTTCAGCAAGAGTATTTGCCTTCTTTGCAAGTAGCTCCTGAGATCATTCAGGTAGGAATTCCTAAAAGAATATTTGGAAAACTCTTAACAATCATAAATGCTAAATGGGAACAAAATGAATACTTACAAAGTTAAGCTCCTACAATCCCTCAGTAAAACTTACTCTGGTATGCAATATCAGAATAGGATTAATCTGGTATAAGGAGTAAAGTTACTGCAAGAATACCTTGCAAAAAAAGAGTCCAGTGCATGTGACTGTCTAAGCCATCTTCCTACTTTAATTCAAAGTTTAACTTGAGGAAGAAGTATCAGTATCCTTAGAGTAACAGCTCAAAAGTAAAATGAAGAACGTTGAATGTATAGAAGTGTGATGATAAAAGCTGTATTCAACACTACAGAAAATTAAGCCACAGCGCGGTTCTACTGCCAAAAACGATGTACAACATTAAGTATGGGGGTTTTGCGTGCTTATTTTGGAGTAGTGTAAAAGGGTTCTCAAAAGTGAAACTTTACACCTCAAAAGTGAAACTGAGACACCTGACCATCGTCTCAACATTAAGCATTGCTAGCCATATGGTAAGCATTGCCATGAAGAAATTGTTAGATGAACACTGACAACCTAATTTTAATTGCAACTAGTTTGGATACTATAGTAATCGGGTTTGCTGCATTAGGAGACAATTATACTCATCATGAGACTTAAACTGTAGAACTTTTAAGTGGCATTAAATACATGTAAGGATCAAGTATTATCTCTTGCTGGTGCCCCAATGTTTTCTCATCTAAGATTATACCTTTTTCAAGTGATAGACGTGTTCTGTATTCTAGAGTCACTTAGTGTGTACATAATACTTCTGAAGCATAAATGTTCATCTGAAGTATTCATTTCAAAGCCACCAGAAATTACTGGAAAAGTTAAAGGTTTAGAATCTCCTTAATTGCAGTCCTTGTAGATAGTCCTGTTTCTGTCTGTTCAGCTAAAAGTGAATGTGATATCCTGCATCTGAAAATACAGTTTTTTCACCCCAGAATACACTTAGTCTGTCATAGCCTATTACAATTTTTTATCCATAACATGCTTTTCTTTGGTTGCACATCAGGAAAATACAAACCAATATCAATGGCTTTACATACAAGGTATTCTATATGCTTCTTACGTATCTCAGGTTGTCTTGTTGCTTCATTTAGTTATTTAGTATTTCTTTATTCTCTCTTAAAGGAATTCTGTCAAGCACTTCAGCAGCCTGATGCTAAAGTTTTTAAAAATTACTTAAAGGTAAAGATTTTTTTTCTTTAAATAGCTTTTAATTCCATTTGAACTTTGTCACACAACTCAGTTGTGGTAGTGACTGGAAGTAAAATTGAAATATTGAATTATTTAATAGTTTTTAGCTATAGGGAATCTCCAAGTAGTAAAAGCAGTTATTTGGAAAGAAGGAGCAAACAACAACAAGAAAGCTACATCTGTGGAATTGTCACTTATCTTCAGCACCTTGCCACCTCCTCAATAGCTTGATATTCTTGTGGCTTACGTTTAATAGTTGAAATAGCAAAAAAGTGATGCTGTAATTGTAGAGAATGTGTCAGAATGCTTCTTTTTTGAGGGTGTGAGTATAATCAAATAGCACAAGTCACATCCTTGAACCTAGTGTGTTAACCAGTATGTTCAACAAGAAAATGATCTCTGCCAAACTAATTATCTTACACCTCAACCATTCTGTGTCTTGTATTTCCTTTGTCTTAAAATGCTTTTTTAATAAATTTTTAACAGGTATTCTTCCAGAGAGCGAAGCCCTAAGGAAAGTACTGGAATCTCATGTACCTGTTCCCATAATCCAGAACTCTGGTTGTTAATTTATAAAAACGCTAACTCTTGTGCCATTCAAACTGGTTTTGTTTTTAAGAAATGTTGCTTTGTGCTCACATCAGTACATATTTTAGCCTTTCGCAAAAAGAGAAATGCAAATCCCCCACCTGTGTCTCAAACATGAAGGTATGTGACAACATGAAAAATTCTCTGTATACCTACACAAACTTTTATTATGTATAGGATGATTTAAGCTTATGCTGTAACACGTACAGCAATGAAATGACACTTATTTTTGAAATTAAATGTAAAAATCCCTTCAGACCATAGCAATGGTTATTAAAATGTGTACATTTTTGATACTGAGTAAAATGTTTTCATAAGACATAAAATTCATTTGTTCATGTATGGTGACATGAAAATAAAACAATCAAAGTCATTCTTGTAGATAGTCATTTCATTGAAGTTGTCTTAATTATAAAATATATATATATACCTCCTATAAAACAGATTGGTTTAATAAATGATATCATTTAAAAGTAGTATCTGGTTCTATCTTTTTTTACAAAAAAAATAAAATTTTATCCAGTGAAACTTTAAGTCTCTTCGAATCATTTTGGTTGAACCTTTAGAAGCTACAGCATTCTTTAACCTCCTGGCTGTTACATTTGGGTAGAACCTGGCAATTTTTCTGGTGCTTGGCTAATAAATTGTATTGCAGTCTTGCATGTGGAAGATGCTGGCAGAAAGAATGAGTTACATTCACTGCAGTATTTCAGTATGATCTGTGGTCAATGGTCTATACAGAGATTTTAGTAGAGTGTTGCTACTTCTGTCCCAAAATGTATTGGTTGGTCAGTTGGTTTCTTTGCCTTTTTTTTTTTTTAATTCTATGACACTACAGTTTTCGTAGCTATTTCACAGGGGCAGGGGAAAGCTAGGAGCCTTCCCGTGCATGGGATTTAGTACTTTCTTTGAAAACTGATGTCCAAAGTAAAAAGCTGACTTACCTCTAGCATAATCAGATGAGCATTTTCTAGACTGTGTGGTGCTATGTTCTTCACCCAATTTAAATGGAAAATAAATGAGGAGGTGGATCAGAAACAGCAGCCAGGAGTGGAGTGTGGTGATGTTTTGAGGATACTCCTCTGTCATTCCCTCCCTTTTCACTGAGGGAAGAAAGTAGAGGGTGCTTACCTATACTACTCTTCAATAGGACACTTTTATAAGATTCTTGTTCCTGATTTTTGTACGTTTAATCAAAAGTTTCTTGTTACTTGATTTGTTTTATCACAGATTAAGTGCTTGTGGTGCTTTTTATACTTCCTAGTCTCACAGTCCCGTTTTCTTCCCTTTGCTGCCACACCAATGCTAGAGGTCCCCTGGGTCCAATATCCATTTCATTTTCTCCTGCAGCACTGGAAGCCTTCCATCTTTGACTTGGTGCTTTGTATACGCTGCTGTGTTCCTGCACCTCCCAGCTGCCCCTCCCCAGCTCAAGGGGCTTGCACGCCCTGCCCCTGGCCACTGCAGCTATTGCTGAGTGTTTGCTGTCGGTCTTCTCTGTGTTTGGCTTCGTCTCCTTCGCCTGCAGTTATGGCAACTTTACCACATGGAGGGAAGAGCTTTCACTAGGCAGATTATGAAACAAACAATAAGGTAAGGCTCTTCTGTCTTTAGCAAAGTTTTTTTTGTTTTTAAATTACAGTGTTCTTGTAATGGAGTCACTCTTAATTTTCATACAATTTAGACTTTTGCCTTCTGAAGTAAGGGTAGTACTGCTGCTTTTAGTACTGTGTAAAAGCAGGAAAAAAGCCTACACTTATTAATTCTGTTGGTATAGTTGACTGTGTCCTTTGTCTAACAGCATGATATAGCTATTACCAAATTACACCCTCATGAGGAAAGTCTTTAAACTGGCCACAGCCAAAAGACACTGCTCTCTTTCCTCAACCCCGCCATCCCCCTGTAGCTTCCTCTGTGCCAAATCTGGTGTTCGTCTAACCCCATCGCAAGCTGTTTGGGAAGCTGAAGTGGCAGAAACACTTCCCCCTGAAAGCATGCCGCCTGCTATGGTGGTGTCAGGTGAGAATGGACACAAAGCAGAGAGTGCAGAGTGTGGGAGTGAGCTGTGCGTGGCAGCCATCAGCCTGGCTGTATTATAAACTTGTACCCTGACCTTCCACCCGTGACTGAAAGAGTACCTTGTAGGATGAATGGTTGGGTAGTCTGGATCTTTGGAGAAACTAATTCGGTGCTGCCTGAAGAATTCGAAAAGGATTGTTTACTGTCCTATGCTTTGACCCTGTTGAATCAGAATAGTGTACTGTCAGGGATTATGCAAGTAATTATGTGAGCTGTAAAACAGGATCTGTGGGTTGGTTTCTGTATCTTTAGATAAACATGTGAAGACTGATTCTGGCTACTAGCAGGTTATTTTTTTCCTGCAATTTCTTTCAGTGGTGCAGAGACTGCGGGTCTGCAGCTGTTATAGTGCAGCTGGGTTATGTGGTGGGTATGCAGTGCCTAGTAACTATCTCTGCAAAGAATCAAGGTTCAGAAAGGCAATTGATGAGTTTCTACATCTTTACTTTGAAGAGATGGATTCCTCCTTTATGCTTTTTTTTTTTTAATCTCTACTGAAAAAGAAGCGCATGTTACTTGTTATCTCCAAAGAGAAATCTGGTAATGCAACATGTATTCAGAGTGTGAACTAGACTCTCCAGGCAGTGTTTAGATGCTCTGAACATACTACGAAAACTACCTGTGGGGTAGAAGAGGAGGAAGAAGATAGAGATAGATGAGAACACTCCACTGAGAGATTAGGTTGACATTCACATGTTTTCCTTCTGTCTTAAAAACAATCTTCTGATTTAAAGGCTGCACCAAACACAACCACCTGCACCTTTCCTGTGTGACTTACCATTGCTGTGTACCTGCATTGGTCAAAATGTCCCTGTCGAGACAGAAGATGCATAAAACATCATCATGGCAGTAAGTCCTCCTTTCGTGCACAACAGTATTTACTCCTGTAAAGTGTGTTTAAGCAGGAAACACAGCTGCAAGTCTTTAAAGATACAAGGCACCCTTTGCAGAGAGATAGTATCTTTTATTTACAAGCTGGTGTAATTACTAAAGACAGATAAGCTTTCAGGCCCGCAAGCACTTTTCTGGGTGTGAAGTAGAGGCAATGAATTCCATGCAAGCTGAGCTCAGGGACAATTTTACTCAGGGAATGGCTTATCAATGCAGGTAAGACATTTTAGCAGCTAGTTGCTGCCCAGAGAGGCAATCTGCCCTTATCCCCTCTCCTGTCAGCATTGGCACTTGTCTGATTCCGTAACAAGACAATTTATGGTGGAAAGCTAATCTTGCAAAATAACTGTTTTTGAGTTTTTCAGAAACTTCAAAGCTATTAAAAAATAAATTCAAAGCTATTTAGAAAGCTACTCACCCTTTGGGGGAGAGAGAGTTTTCCAGCTGGAACTGTCTCACTCCATGGAGCGAGACAAGGGCTACTGCAGATTCAAGGAAAGCAGCTGTGATGTGTGGGTAGGGGTGGAGGAGGGAGCAAGCCCCTTTCAGCAGCAGTTGGCCACTGGGGCCATTTAGTTGTAGCATCACTCTGTAGCCATGCAGTTACTGAACTTCAGTTGTGCCATTTCAGAAAGTTAAGCCAACAGGAAACCGAAGAAAGGAGAGTGAAGGAAAACAGCAACTAGGTTTTAACTGATTAAGTATGATTAAGATTTAAGTAGGAGCTGGAAGCCATTGTGCAGCGGGAGAGATTACTTAGTTGCCATCACAGAAACATGGTGGGGTGACTCTCATGATTGGAGTGCTGCAATGGATGGCTATAGACTCTTCAGAAGGGACAGGAGAGGAAGGAGGGGCGGTGGGGTGGCCCTGTATGTTAGGGGGTGTTTCGATTGTATAGAGCTCAACAGTTGTGATGATGATACGGTTGAGTGTTTATGGGTAAGGATGAGGGGGAAGGCCAACAAGGCAGATATCCTGCTGGGAGTCTGTTACAGACCACCCAACCAGGATGAAGGGGCAGATGAAGCATTCTACAAGCAGCTGGCAGAGGTCTC